TTTGAGGATCTCCTCAACCCAACATGCTTTGCCTGGTTGAAGTGGTGGCTGGGTATTTTGGGTCAGACTGGTTAATTACTCGAGGTGGTTAAAAAAAAAACTCGACAGACAGAAGTCTGGCTGATTGTTGACCTTTGGCTTCAATGAGCAGTGTGGGTTTTGAACACTGGACCAGCTCTCCACCCTCTGCAGGGTGCTTGTGGATGCATGGAAGTTTTATGAAATGCATATTATGGGTTTTTTGAACCTGGAGAACACATTTAACTGCTGCCCTTTTGGTGCCATGTGGGGGGGATGCTTCAAGAGTATGGAGTAAGGGGGCCTTTACTAGGGGCCATTCTGGTGCTGTACAAGGGCAGGACTCTGATCTGCATTGCCAGCATTTAGCCGGACCTGTTCCCGGTGCATGCTGAACTCTGGCAACCTCTGTCACAGGTGCTGTTCATAACAGTTCAGGACGGGTTTTCTAAGCAGAGCCAAGGGCTGGTTTGGGGATCTGTGAATGTTAAAATAGAGCCTTGTGCCTAGGGAGCACTATTTTTGGTCCACCTTATAACACCAAGGAGCAAATAGGATAGAAAGACACAAGAAAGTCAGTCGGACAACATGCCAAGGTGCACTCCTTTCGTCTGCCTTGCGATCCTGAGGACGCAGCTCGCTGCAAAGTTTGTTTGTCCAACCCAATACCTTGGCACTCTCACTTTTTTGGCCTCACAATCTCCTGGATGGCACAGAGCCAGCTTGCTGCAGGTAAGAGACTGAGGATAAGCTCCCTCTAAGCTCCTGGGGAAATAAGAAATAATGAGAAAAAGCACCCCCATGCCGAGGCCCATTCCCCGAAGTCCTGCCATCATTGGTATGGTTCCAAAGTAAGCTCAGACCATTCAAGGCTATCATGGTCAGGTGTCCATCCCATAGATGATAGCGGGCACGCTTCCTCTCCCTGCTCAAGATCCACAGGACTGAGCGATTACCTGCACAAGTGGCATCAAAGTGAACTACAACATCGGCACACGTACTCCCAGCGCATGCAGCAGACTAAAGCAGTCATTGAAACCCTGCTTCGGGGGTACAGCTGGCACCTCTCCTTTTTTTCTTTGTCAGTCACACGGGCCCTGTGCTCCACCAGCAATGTAATCATGGCCTCATCAAAGAGCTTGAATAAAAGCCTCCTCTTGTGCTGCACGTGAGATTCAGACCTTTTGCTAGGACATGAAGGCAATGCACATGAACATGCAGTGTGTAAAACATGTCCACGGTCCTTAAGTTCGCTCATAGCGAACTCAAGAATTTTAGGTTACATTGCATCATACATAGAATGTTCATACATATTGTGTCACATCAATTGAATATTACTAAATAATACTGGAACCAGTTACATTAGGTATGTTTAATGGTAAGAAATGCTGTCACCTGCTAGAGGGACTTGAATATATTTTTTTTATGTTTTTTATGTTTTCCTGTGTTCCAGTTTTGAAAGTGATAAAACAAGTTCACAATACACATCTGGAATGTTCTAAATTAATGATAATTAACGAACTTTGTTCAAAAGCCAAGTCAAAGTCAGTAAAAATTAAGTTAAATTCATGCATCCAATTCCTGTACTGACCTAATCCTCTCAGAGCCATTTGGAGGGTTGGTGTCTGTCCCCAATAGTACATGGGGAGAAATGAGGATACAAAACCATCCATATCATTCTTAGACCAGAGAGCAATTTAGAAAAGCATGTCAACTAAAATGCATTTGTTCATGTGTGAAAAAGCCAGGGAGCTCTCAAACAGGCACATATTTACCTTTATTTCATGTCTTGGATTAAGTTGTGTACATCTGAAGTAGTAAATGTGGAACATTATACATCAGACATGAAATAAGATAAAATTAAAACTGAGTTTCCTACAGTTCATAAGCTTAGCTCTGAGGCTGCAGAGAGAAAAACAGCAACAGTATAACTTTCCTTCCTCCGGTTTTTTCCTCCTGTACCATTTTACTGACATTTCAAACTCTTTTCGTGGAGCTACCCGTCAATCACAAAAAAACTTATTGCACCACTGCAGTAACCTTGAGGATGCATAAAATAGAGGAAAACTGAGATAGGATCATTAATGCACAGTGAGTGCTGTAATATTGTGGCAAACCTGGTGTCACTTCACAAGGTTAATTATCCCTGCAGCTTTAATTTTTGCATTGGAAGAAAATACGATATCCAAATTGGCAGCCAAGCTTTTTTTTTTATTATCAGGCACACGGGCATTTTTTTGTCTGAGCTGTCTGGCTCACAGCTCATGCTGTCCAATATCCAGAGGTGAAACATCTTAAATTTCTTACAATACGTTTTACAGTATATGGTTTTATTTATGGCGCCCCCTCCTGTTGTTTCATGTGTAAAGTCTATCAGCAAATACAGCTGTGCAAGAATTGGTGGAGGAGCAAAGATCACAGCTCCTGTGGGAGAATCAGCTGACATAAAAAAACAAATGCATGTAAAGAAAACAATGCACATACACAAAATAACTAATTTTTACTGAAAATAAGTGCATTTTTTTCTTGAATTGAGGAGGTAAGTGAGAAACTTCTCAAATGGAAGAAGACAATTTACTTAAAATTAGAAAAACAACTTCATGGTTTAATTTTAAGTGCATAGTATCACATTTTCTTATTTTAAGAGTAAATATATTAATTCATTGTACTTACCGCCTCAAATTAAAGGTAATTGGATTTAATTTAAGAAATGTTGACTTATTTCTAGATTGTTTTTGCAGTGTAACCATAAATACAGCAACCACTATCCAATCTGATAGTGGCGGTATCATGCTGAGGGGCTGCTTATCTTCAGCAGGAATAGGGAAGCTCACCAACATTCATGGGAAGAAACAACATTTTATTCAGTTTATTCATATTACACCAATTAACAACAAATTCTGTCTCAATATAATATACAAAAATGGCTATTCATATCATATAAACAGATTCCATAGCACATGTCTACACTTCACGTGATCTTGAAAGAATGAAGTTAAAGGAGGGTGGATAGAATCCTGAGGGTGTAAATTTAAATCAAACAATAAAAGACAAAAACAGTAACAAAGGACAAAAAAAGTTCCATTGTAAATAATGTCACCATCCTGGCTGTGTTATGGTATCTACCTAGTTCTCAAACAGTGCAGTAACTGTAAGTTTAGTATTTCCATGGAACTTTTTAAAGGTTTTCTATCAAAGAAAGCCCAGCAAGATGCAATGGAGTCACTGACTGTCACCATCTTGGTTCTTTAAAGTTCTTTTCAGTATTCAGTTTCACTTTGACCCATGCTTTTCTTTGTTTGCTAGTTTTATTGGTTTGATTCATGTTTTGTTGTGTTTTCTGGATTTCTTAGGTTTTTCTTGGTTGCCCTCTGTTGCCCTCATGTATTGGTCTCCTTTTCCCTAGCTCCTTCTAGAATCCTCTGTACAAACCTGCTCCCAATCAGCTCATTAGTCCTGTCTTTGTTCAGCATGGGCGGTTCTAGACAGGGGCCAGTGGGGTCCAGTGCCCCTGTAGATCATGTCCTGGCCCCTGTTATGGCCCCTTTACTGAAGACATAGTACTCAAAGAAATTCTAATGATGATCTGCGCTGGAACAGACATAGTTACTGATAGTTACTGATCCTTTGGATCTATTTCATGTTTTTTCTTTACAAATTCTGTTTTACTAATTATATAAAAACAATAAGGTGATAGCTTCAGTGGTATTGAGATAGGATCCCAGCATAAATGTATTTTTCAAAAATATATTTCAAAATTTTATTTAAACCTAATCTCATTGAAATTTCAGTTCATGCAGCTCTCTTAATGTATTTGAATCCCTAGCCCTGTTTTTTTATTTAATGCTTTTCTGTGCCCCCATGAAAACACACTGGCCCCCTCCTGGCCCCCTGGTACATTTGGTTTAGAACTGCCACTGTTGTTCAGTCTCCCATATATACTCTCCCTCAGTGCTGGTTCCTCATCTTTTCCTGGCTCCACACATGAGTTTTTCCCATGAAGTTGTCTGGTTTTTGGTTCCATTTATTTGCACTTTGATTTTTGGCCTCAGTTATTCAATTAAATCTTTAAGAACTCAACTCTCCCCGCCTCTGCATTTGAGTCCTCAAAACCTCAACCAAACCCTGACAGTGACATGCAGTCTTTATTAATACTGACCATGCATGTTGCAACAGCATAAAACAAAAACTCTTTTTTCAACAGGAATGGGAAGACTTGGGATGGAGGTAAATCTCCCACCATTACATATTTTTAATGTTCTTTTTTGTTTCTGCATTTTTATTGTATTTTTTTTTTCTTTCTACTTGCTTTGATTCTGTTTCATTGTCCTATATTTTAATCATGTAAAGTACTTTGCATTCTTTGTACTAAATTGTGCTATACAAATAAATTTGCCTTGCCTTGCCTGCCTTGCCTTGCCTTACCAGGCCAACAGCCATAACTGTACAGTCATGAATATTAAGATATAATAGTCTCAGTCAATGTCCAGTTGTAAATCCAGTTGATGAGCAAATTTGAGAGAGGAAAACAATAAAAGAAAGCATACAGCTAAATGAAATGGTTTTTTTCCTTGTACAGAAAATTAACTTAAGAGAGCAAATATGTGATGCATTTTACTTTAAACTATATGCATATATATACTTCAAACTATATGTGTGTGTGTGTTTCTGTATATATATCCTGTGTTCATATATCTGTTCTTTTCTGACTCGTTGCGCACTTTGTGGTTTTCATCCCTCTTTGGTCTTTGCGTAAAAACTAAGCAGCTAATCATTTTCCCTCTCATAAAATCAGAAGTCTTGGTTCCTTCAGCTGAAAAAGGAGAAAATGTTAGTCTATACATTGTCAGTATCGGGGTGTAAGTGTTGGGGGGGTGACGTCAGGAGCGGAGAGCAGCGCGCTGTGCGCGCAGAGCAGGACCAGCGGAGAGACCAGCCGTGGAGAGGTGCGCGCTTTTACCCAAACTCCTGCAGCACTGATTAGTCCGGACGGAGCCCACGGAGCGTGATGAACAACAGGTCTCTGACTCCGCAGCTGGATGGAGCTGGAGGTGGAGGCGGCGGGTCGCTCGGAGCTGTTGATCATGAACTCGTCATCACCTCTACTTTCGGGACGCTCCTGTCCGTGGTCTACATTATCGGGGTGTCCGGGAACGTGTACACGCTGGTGGTTATGTGCCACTCCATCCGCTTCGCCACCTCCATGTACATCTCCATCATCAACCTGGCTCTAGCAGACCTCCTGTACCTCTCCACCATCCCCTTCGTGGTGTCCACATACTTTCTAAAGGACTGGTACTTCGGGGATGTGGGCTGCCGCATCCTGCTCAGCCTGGACCTCCTCACCATGCATGCCAGCATTTTCACCCTCACCGTCATGTGCACTGAGCGCTACTTGGCCGTCACGCAGCCGCTGGACACGGTGCGGCGCTCCAAAAGCTACCGCAAGGCTTTGGCGTGGGGTGTTTGGCTGCTCTCCCTGTTCCTCACACTCCCCATGATGATCATGGTAGCCCAGACAACCAAGAAGACGCCGGACGGGGGAGTTAAGAGGATGTGCGCGCCCACGTGGGCGCCTCTGGCTTACAAAGTGTATGTGACAGTCCTGTTTGGCACCAGCATCATGGCCCCGGGGCTCATCATCGGCTACCTGTACGTGCGCCTGGCCCGGACTTATCTGGAATCGCAGCGCACCGCGGTGATCAGCAAAGGTGGGAAGCGCTCCCCGAAGCAGAAGGTTCTCATCATGATCTTCACCATCGTGCTGGTGTTCTGGGCTTGTTTCCTGCCCTTTTGGATCTGGCAGCTGCTGCCTCTGTATCACACCAAGCCGCTGAGCCTTGCGTCACAGACGCACACCTGCATCAATTACCTGGTGGCCAGTCTGACTTACAGCAACAGCTGCATCAACCCCTTCCTCTACACGCTGCTCACTAAGAACTACAGGGAGTACCTGAAGAACAGACACAAGAGCTTTTATAAGTACACCTCATCGTTCAAGCATCGGCCTCCAAGTCTGCACTCCTGGGGCAAGTCAGGATCCTCCAGCAACCAGTATGAGTTTAACTCTGAGACGCTGGTTATGGGGACGCTCAGGTGACTTACTGGGTGGAGGGAAAGACTCCTGAGAAAAGAATTGCTGTAGGTAGGTATTTTTAAACCTAAACCTACTTTAATGTAAAGATTCTAGGCTTTGGTTTCCATAAGTAGTGTGCATGAATTAATGTGAGCGAATTAAACAAAAAAAGATGCGCCCACAAAACTACAGCGTGGGAGAGGCGCTCACAGCCATTGGATTCTTAAAATAAATATATTTGATTGGAGTTTTATGTGATACCAAAACTTTTTTGACATGAGGGAGAAAAGGAGGTAAAGAAGAGCAAGGTGGCCATGGTTGACCTCTTTATTGAAGTACAAAAGAAATCTATATTTTAAAGTACAACAAAAAATCCCAAACATGTTTTGACTTTAAATTTGTAAACTAATTTTCTCTTCTTAAAAACAACAGTTTTTAGGTAAGAGAGTAAAGCAAATGCCCATATAGGAAACTAAAAAACTTTTTATGCAAGACTGATTTCCGTTATCACATATAAAAGTGCTTAAAAGGCAACCATTGCAGTGATGGGCATCAAAATGTCCCACAGAGTGATCCAAACCTATGTGGTTTGCACCCTGCTTCTGTCTTCCTCAGCTGTCATGGTTCAGTTCAGCAGATTTTTTAACAACTTATACCTTCCTCTATTTTATTTTTCGTCTGTCAAAGAGGCATGACGGTGTTGTATAATTATACTGCCACCTGTGGCCAAACACAACACTTTTCTGCTCATTTTCCAAATAATTTATTCATTATTTTTCCCAGTTTCCTTTCTGGAAATGAGGCAATAAGAATAATTGTCTTGATGCCAAAGAGAGAGCCTAACAGATTTTGCTTTCATAAGTGGAGCAGTACGGCTTTCGCCATTGTGTTCCACTTGATTTATGCATATAAATAGCTTTTTATAATTCATGCAGGGAGTATTACAGATTATATGGACACTGAAATGAGAAAATAGAACATGAAAGGAAAAACAAAAAGGAGAGAAGGTGAAAGAAAAAGGAGATAACTGGGAGACAATGATAAAATGTCTTCTGTGTGTTCATCACCTGCAAAGGGTTGTAAAAAGAACAGCACAACCAACGTATATACTGTTAGAGATACGTTAAAGTAACACCTTAATACCATTGCTGAAGTCTAAGTGGTTTTATTTAATCTGACATTTACTGTGGTACCTGAAGATAAGGATATGGGCTTTCTGTATGGAAGTTAATCTCTAAGTACCTGGAACTAAGCACCTGTAGTTGTTTGTAAAAGTGCACTTGTGCATGTAAAGTTTATCCAAAGGAAAGATGGTTGTGAAGAGCCAAGACCCGCCCCCTCAGAGCACCGAGGTGAGGGCTGGGGGACCAAAAAACCCAGATGTCAAACCTGACAAGTAAACAAATACATAGTCTCAACCACATCTTCCCACCCTAGTGCCCCCACGCGCAACACACAGACTCTTCAAAAAAAAAAAAAACGGAGTACGCACATTCACACATAACACTCGGGGCACCTATTACCGGAATACCCAGTAGGTGAACCCTGAAATCCAGATGGGATTTCAGCTCCTTACATGGAGCTGCCTAAGTGGTGTCTGAGTTGACCTGGATGCTGGTCACTTCTGAGTATCCACAAAATCTATCCTTAATGTAACACTGCAATCAAGATCATACCCATTTAACATGGACACGCTAGACGTAAAATAACAGAGAACTTCCAACCCGAAGTTCATTCAGTAAAAATAGGCTCCACGCCTATAGCTGCCTCGGCGATTAACTACTGAGGAGTCAGTCTGCTCATCAAAAGTTGTTTTTGTGGTAAAAGGTTAAAAAAAAAAGGTTATTGTAAAGATATTTTTCAGTAAAACCTAACAAAATGTCTCTTTAATGTTTAATTTCAAGGCTGTAAGGGTTTTTGGATAAATTAGTGACTATTAATTCAAAAGATATGAAAGTAAGGGGGTAGTTAGGGGGATCTGTAGATTTGCTACTGGAGCAATGAATAATTGCTTTGACCAATTAAGTTTTTTGCCAAATAGCTTAAACATAGGATGGAGAGCATTTCTGAAGAACAGTTTTAGGTTTTGCCATAGATTCTCAGTTGAATTCTTGACTTTGACTGGGCCGTTCTAACATTTAAATAAGCTTTGATTCAAACTGTTATACTATACTAAAGGAGTGTTGTGTTGCTTAAAAATGAACCTCCAGCTCAGTCTCAGATTCCCTCCATATGTCCAACAAAAACAAAAATATTGATTTCTCATTTTGCATTTATTTTTACTTCTTTAGTGAGAGCAATGTGGACTTGATCAAAGTTGATTCTGATGCTGATTTTGGTACCCATGTTCCTGCCATCTTAAAGGAAAACATAATGATGCAATAGGTGTTTTTCACCCCTGTTTTTCATGGTACACAGAGCATCTCAATTTTGTCTCATCTAGCAGGTTGCTGGAGGTGTTAAATGAAACTATAGCCTTCATCTGGCTTTGTACAAACTTAACCTAATTCTTTCAATATATTATTAAAAAAAATTTAGTTTGAAATAAAAGACTGGAATTAGGTTTCAAAATGATCAAATAGAATCAAAAAGTTCAATGGGAAATATGGCTCACTAACCAGGACAGCACGTCATGAGGGGATGGAATATTTACCCTTCTTTGTGTCCAGTCCAGTATTCTTATAAAAGTAAATTGTTGCATAATTCGGTGTGTGACACTGTATATACAGTAGTGTAACAACTATCAGTAGCTAAATTGCTTGATACAAGTAAAATCAGTTTTATGAATAAAGTTATGGAGAAGTTTGAAACAGAAGGCATTTCTTGTGGTTTTGCAATTTGCCATACAGATGACACAAGCATGGTAAAGAAGATGCTCTAGTCAGATGAGAACGAAACAACTTTTTTTTATGAAAAATCCACCATCTGCTGCATGATACACGGTAGTGACAGGATTGTACTGTTGGAATCCTCCACCTTCAGCAGGGACCTGGAAGCTGTAGAGAGCTGATAAGAAGAATGATAATGTAAACTTTTAGGGAATTCTGAAGAAAAAGCAACTGCAAAAAAAACAAAAACAAAAAAAAACTGCAGGCTGAGGTCAAAACCCTTCAGCTGGGGTCAAAATGGAAAAGTTTGATTTAAAGAAAATTGCAGTGTTTGAAGGACTAAGACAAAGAAAAGAGCGAATCAGATCGCTGCTAAGACTCTATTTAACACACAGCTATGTTCTTTTTTTATATCAGTTTGGTTATTTTTTGTGAAAATGTGGTATAAAACATGTTTCCTTTCTCTCGCACTTTATAATATTTTGCCTCTGTCACATAAACTCCCACCCAAATGCACTGAATAATTCAGCCGTAAAATGAAAAAATAAGAGATAGATCCAGAGGTTTCAACACTTTTGTCAGCCTCACCCTCATCATCTTCTTTTCTCCAGATCTTTAGTCAAGATCTAGAGAGGTTTCTAGACCTGAGGCCTCTTGATAATCTCATGCATCTCAGAACACAGAACTGATTCCACTCCTTCCAATGCAACACCTGAGTTAAAGTTGCAGCAAATTACCATTTTGGGGACAAGAATTGAGGTTGCTGCTAGAAAGTTAATATCCAGGTGTTATATTGTTAAGACTAATTAATAGCATAGTAAATTAACTATTGGTTGACATGTTTTCATTATACCTATATTTTGCCTGTGAAATTGACTAAGGAATAACTGGCTAGGCTTATCTTATCTTATTGGTTAAGCGAATAAATACCTCTCTGTCAAATTAAATACTAAACAATTTGCAGAGGTGTGTTTGTTTGACATTAAGGCCCAACAGCATCAAATGGTCTTAAATTCATAGATCTGAGACCATAACGTTGTGTAGTTAATATTCAGCCATTTTAAGCCATTAAGCTCTTTGATTTTAACTAGAAATGCTCTCAACAGGCTCATTTCTATGCCTTATTATTCATGAGGGGCTTTGCAATATTGACTCACCCTAACAAGTGGGTGTATGGAACTGACATGTGATACTGATGGTAGTGACTAAATGGGTGAGGAGAGCTGCAGTGATTGGCTGGTTTCATGTGGTGTAGGTGTCAGTTTGTCCCGATGGCTGAGTGTTTTATGTCCTTTGCTTCTCTTTAAATGTTCAGGGTTCCTCCCAATGTTAACAGTCATACAGGTAAGGATGATTTAAGGTTTTTAACTTGTCTCAGGTTGATTTCTAATCATGTACATCCACCTGTAGTTAAACGGTTTGTTATTCTTTTGCTGTCTTGAAACTGTAAAATAATCCATTTGAGGTTATTTTGTTAATCGTGTGTTTGTTTATTTTTGAATTTCTACAAACATCTTTTTGCAGCACGTTGCAGATTTCATTATTTACCTTCATATAACTGCAAGAACATGCATTTATAAAACCCATTAAGATTTTGATGCTGTGGTGTTGGGAAACTTTCCCAATCTGCTGATATGTGGTCTGACCCTGCCTCATAACAACTAGGGTTCCCTTCTTTGGTTAAAATATCTTTACTGAGACTTAGGAACATTTGCCCCACTCCTCTCTTTCATCTGTGAGTCGTTTAATGACCATTTTTACATCTAAAGATGGTTTCAGTTCAGTAATTTAACTTCAGAATTACCCGACTCTGAAAGTCTATACCTTTGTCCTCATTCTCTCTGGCAGATTATAGTGCTGTCTTCAGGTTTTTAATTAGAGCAAAAGCCTCTTGCTTGCACACCTCCACCTTTTGCAGTCTCTTGCTTGGAAACCCAAATTTCAATGCGTCGGCAGTTTTTCAAATGACCATATTTTCCATAAATGGAAGAATTAAAAGAATATGTAAAGATCTTCTACAATCTCTTTACCAGACTGAGAATCTGCTGTAATCCTCTCTTTGAAGGCCCGAATCAGCTATTTAGATTCCTTTATCAGAATAAACTTTTTATTACTTATATATGTGAAAGGAATTTCGATAAGCAGCAGTATGTACATATGGGGATGTATGCTTATTTTTTTCCCAGCCAAGTTGTAATTTTGTTAATCAGAATCACAGCTTGGGGAAAG